TTTGCCCCCCCCCCCCCCGCAAACATTTCCCGCCCCCCCCCCCCCCCCCCCCCCCCCCCCCCCCGCAAACGTACACAGTCTGATTTAATGCCGGGCAGTATTGCATGTTCAAATCTTCTGCAGTCAGGTGTCCTGTTTACACGTATTTAAAATGATGCATTTGAAGGAAAAGTAAATAATCAAAGGGTGCAGTTTAAAAACTGGATTCCCTCCTGTGCATGCTGGACTGCGGATTTAGACCCAAGAGTGGAGAGTTTTCATGTCGAGGCTTTACCGAATACAGACCCGCTTTATATGTAATGACTTGATTTGATCCAGTAAATATGGTTGTTGATCCGAGTATGTGGGAAGGGAAATAAAATGTACGCTGTTGCGTTTACTCGGACATGAATCTTTGGAGTGGGGGAGAGAGGGAAGTACTTAAGAATCAAGTTGGACTTTGACCAAATAAGTCACACTTTGAACAGGTGTGCAGCCAACATAGGAGGTAATCCCCACCAAGACAGAAAAGCCTGGACTGGAGCACATCTGACTGTGCAGAACTGTTCTGTATGCATGCACACTGCATATAAAATAGCAGCGCTCCTCCTGTCTGCAGACGTGACAAGCTAAAGGTTGTGAAAAGTCCACCTGTCTCCTTGACCTTCATGATTTCGGCCCTCAGGAGAGGCCAGCATATGTTGTACTCAGTCTGAAAGGCCTTTAATGCTTTGTCCGCTGTTGTCAATTCAAATAGTGCATGGAAATGCAAAATGACCAAAAAAAGATTGATAGTTTAACAAGGAATATTAATTGGTGTCTGTGATCATAGATTTAACAATAAGATCTACTAAAAGTAGATGTAGATGCAGACTTTGTTCTTGTTCATGCTACATTTTGTTTGCCTAAGCATTTGGATTCTTTTTACTTAAGTTGTACACCAAATTACAATAAATGTTATTTCAAGGCACTGCACAGAAACAAATGGGTTCAATTAATCAGAATCCAAATGAATAAATCCTGTCCATCCCTACATAATCAGTAATCATTAAACTACAAATTTCATTTATTAAACCTCATAATATGCACAAGGTAAGGGAAGGTGGCATTTGTTAAACGCTCTCACCAATTCAAGCCAACCGAGGACTTGAAGCAGTTGAGCAAAAACTGGGTCAGTGAGTTATGCTTTTGTGTTCACAGTTCACAAGAAGCCACTGCAGGTGGGAGCTATTCTTCACCATAATCCGTTTTTTTTTTTTTTCCCCCAAGGTTTCTTCTGGTTAATAATAGAGAAAGAAGGTCAGCTTTTATTTTTAAACCAGAGAGGAGAATTTCTATTATTTTAATCAATGTTTTGATGTAAGATTGGACAAGAGTCACAGAATATCTAGACAGTTTAAAAATACAGAACTAAGTCTTAATCTAACTTTTAAAGGGGCAGTATTGTGTAAAAATCCTCCTTTTTGAGATTTACATTGTGTTATAATGTTTTTCCCTAATCAAAAACATATCTAGAGTGTTGCTTTGATTCTTTAATGTATGTTTAAGAAATCATTTTAATCTCCCGTGGCAAGCATTCAGCTGTGCAAAACGCCTGGGTGGACCTTGCTCCGCCTTCGAGACACAGCTCCTCCTTCAAGCTGCAGTTTCCAAGCTCCCCTTCTCCATAATTTCCCCACTCAGCTCCTTCAGAAGAGCCAGCAGCGATTTGCAAACACCTGGAGGAATTGGGCATCTGCTGATCTCATTGTACAAATTACTTCTCAGTGCAACGCTGGTAAAAAAAAACATTGTTAAAGGATTAACAGAGAAGCAATGTTGCGATGACTTCCTGAAGGCAAAGTTTCAGAAAAAGCAGGAGCTTTTGAAGAGACAGAAACCCGATTTCAGGGCGTTAAGCTACAAAGTCAAATTTCTTAAGTCACATTTCATGTATACAGTATTTTTATAACAAATGAAGGTAACATTGTTACTTATGAAATGGCACTATACCCCTAGAAAATATGTAATAATGTCCCTTTAATAGAGAATACTCGAGTTTTAAAAAAGTTATCCGTAACACAAAGTGTCAAAGTTTTAAAAACTGCACTACATAAAAGATTTGTTCTTTGAAAGGTAATATCAACTACTCATCTGAGAGGGACTGTTTTCTTTCTTTTTTTTTTTTGGTAATAGAATGAAGCCCCTATGTGTTGTGAGACTCAAATCATCTAACAAATGATTCAACTGAATGCTTTTTGTGTCCATCAGCTTGGTGAGCTGGGCAAAGGAGCAGGGAAAGGCGGAGGAGGTGGAGGATCTGTGAGGACGGCAGGAGGCGCATTCGGAAAGCGGGAAGCGGCAGAAGAGGAGCGATACTTCAGGTGAGCCACTGGTTATCCTTGTGGTAACTGCGCTTAACCTGTGTGCCAGGTGAGCCTTTTGACCCCTCTGAATTTTGGTTACTTGCAGGGAGAGGGAGAAGGAGCAGATGGAGGCTCTGAGGAAGCACCACAGAGAGGAGATTGAACATCATAAAAAGGAGATTGAGCGCCTACAAAGGGAGATCGACCGCCATAAGGGCAAAATCAGAAAGCTGTCGCACGACGACTGAGGCAGCGACGCCTACTCTGATTTATTACCTGAGTGCAACCACTTGTTGAATTTCACTTGTTTCCTCTGCTGGTCAAGGCAGATCTTGTGATCATGAGTTGTTATACTGACCTCGTTCTAAGGGCTGAAACAATAAAGTGATTCATCTTCCTGAGTTGTCCAGTTGTCAGTTTATTTAGTGTTCTTAGTATTAGGGAAAACTCCAGCTTGTCTAGTGTGTATAGAACAGAGCTAAGCTGCTAATCATCCATTGTCTATTCCCACTTATCAAAGCTCTGGTGCACATTTCCATCAGTCATCGGTGAGAGGCTGGGTACCTTGAGGCCAGCCTATCAGAGATGCAGGATGAACTACAGAGCACACATATAATCCCCACTTAGGGCCATTTAGAGAGACCATTTAACCTAACATGCATGTTTTTCAACTCGAGCAGCTGGTGAACCCCCACTTCATTACAGAGAACGTTGTCTTATGAAACCCAGCTTTTAGCTTTTCCACAACTTTATCTGTCTTACCTGCTGTGTTCCTTGGTCTTTCTGAAGTTGTTTACTATGGTTCAGTTTAGTTGTTCATAAATCAGCTGTATTTGTACTGAGATTAAATTGCAGATTTTACTAATTAGGTGATTTGCTGTTTTTTTTTAAGGGATACAAGAGTAAAGGATGCCGAATACATAAATCCATGTTTTAGATTTTTGTAGAAAATCACAATACAAATTTTTCATTTTGATAAAATTTGCTTATATTTGTCTTAGTTTAAATGTTTAATACACAGAAAAAGTCTAAGAATGCACCTGTTTTAATTTTTACATTAAAAATTGCCAATGTTTGTAGACGAGTGCTTTCCGTTTGACGGCCACTTTCTTTGCTTCTGCTGTTGCATTTAAAGGTGTTCTGTTCAATTCTTCGCCACATGAGGGCGCCTACAGTCGCTTTCGATAAAAATCGAACCCGCCATACACTCATTGCCCTTCATCAAGTCTCGTTCAATGTCTCGCGATGGTTGGTTAGCGGCTGCGTTGTTCGGGCGAGCCGACGACGAGACCGTTGGTGTCTGGAAAATTGTCTCGTGGGTTCAACACAAACACTCGTCCTTCTGCTGATTTAGTCCGTAAGGGATTAGAAAAATTTCACGTCCTGAAGCGCGTTGCGGTTGACTGCCTGAATTTTGCCCGTAAGTTTTGCTAACTATCCGTTTTTGCGCCCTTTGTGTGTTTGGCTTGTGGACGGTGTCTCTCGGCACGGTGAGGCCTGTTAGCTTCCATACCTAGCTAGGAGGCTAGCAACTGGTCCTGCTCTCGGAGGAAGGATGGAAACATACTTGAACGCTGCTAATGTGCTGAAATATGCTAAATAAATTATTCGATCGTTTGTATGAGTAATCTAGATTATCTAGTATTATCGCATGCTGGGTAGATCTTGCATAAGAAACATGTTCATTTAGCTTAGTAGCTGGCTTGCATGTGAAGGGGGCGGGACTGTAGGTGCCGATGGTTTCTGTGAGAGCCCGGGCTATTTTAACTCGAAACGGAAACCATACCACGTTGCTTACAGTTATTAAAACTATTTGAAGAGTTTGCTTTACAGGTTGCTCCAACTTGCTTATTTCACACTTGTATTATAATTAAGAAATTTCAGATTAAAATGTGGATTTTTGATAATTGGGTTCTTGTGACCATAAACTGAATTTGTATTATAAAAATAAATTATCTCTATTTTAAAGAAAATCATAAGAATCAGAATTTATCTTTTTTTTTTTTTTTTTAAACTGCCGTCTTGTTTTTATTTGTAGGAATTTCTGATTCTACATTGTTTAGACCAGAATAAGATTTAATCTCTTGTTTGTCTTTTATTTTCCTTGCAGAAGAATGGCCGCCACTGAGGTGAATGGCAGTTCTGCTCCAGCAAAGGAGGAAGAGGAACCCATGGATGTGACAACAACACATACAGAAAATTATCAAACTCTCCTTGATGCTGGGCTTCCTCAGAAAGTGGCTGAAAGTCTAGATAACATCTTCCAGACAGGTGGATATTTAAAACTGAACAAAAGAAGACTACAAACCTTCAAGTGTGTTTCATTTGATTGTAGCTAAAATGTCTTTTTTTTTTTTTTTTTTTTGCAGGGTTGGTGGCATATGCTGACCTGGATGAAAGGGCTATTGATGCTCTGCGAGAGTTCAATGAAGAAGGAGCACTTACTGTCCTGCAGCAATTTAAAGAAAGTGACTTATCCCATGTTCAGGTACCTGCTTAGTTTCAGAGTTTTGCTTTAGCGGCAGTTGTTTTTTTTATTTATTGCTGTCTGTACTAATTTGTGGGGATTTTTTTTTCTTGGTAGAATAAAAGTGCTTTCCTTTGTGGAGTCATGAAGACATACAGGCAGCGAGAAAAACAAGGAAGCAAGGTCCAGGAGTCGACTAAAGGTCCAGATGAAGCAAAAATTAAGGTATTTTGTAACTTAAGTGGGATTTATAGTGCAGAACCCCAAGAGTAAATGTTGATGTCACATTCCCCTGCAAACACAGTTTTATTATTCTTTTGTATGTACCTTTAGGCTCTGTTGGAGCGGACAGGCTACACTCTGGATGTGACGACAGGGCAGAGGAAGTATGGCGGTCCTCCTCCTGAGAGCGTGTTCACCGGCACGCAGCCAGGGATCGGAACTGAGGTCAGTAGTTGGTCTAAAGAAATAACATCTGTATTGTAGCCATTATTGAAAGAAAACTTCACATTAATTCAAACTTGAATTATCTATAATTAAAAATACTTCTCTCTTCTGTCAGACGGATAAAGAGAAACTACAAAATCTGAAACCAACACTGTTGACCTCTGCCTGATAAAATGACCTCATCGTGCATTTCAACATTAAAACTTTAAATGTGTATTTTTGTTCTCGTTCAGGTGTTTGTTGGAAAGATCCCCAGGGATTTATATGAAGATGAGCTTGTGCCACTGTTTGAGTCTGCTGGTCCCATCTGGGACCTGAGGTTAATGATGGACCCCCTATCTGGTCAGAACAGGGGTTACGCTTTCATCACTTACTGTAACAAAGATGATGCGCAAAAGGCCGTGAAGCTTGTAAGTAGTTGTTGTGCAATCAAATAGTGATTTTTGTCGTTCAGCTGTAACTAAACTGATGCTATTTTTTTTCTAATAGGACGAGTAATGACCATTTATATTTAATTTCTTTTTGTTTTGGTCTTTAAATGTTTTGAAAAAACTGCTTTTACTCGAAATCTCCTCTACTAGAGATTTTCTGATAAGATTTTGCAAATGTGTTTTTGTTTCCAGTGTGATAACCACGAAATCCGCCCTGGGAAGTACTTGGGTGTGTGTATATCTGTTGCAAACAATCGCCTGTTTGTTGGATCGATTCCAAAGAACAAGACAAGAGACAGTATATTAGAAGACTTTGGCAAAGTCACAGGTTTGTTCAGTTGCAAAGAAACAATTGTCTTTTAAAAGCTCATAAGTTTGTGATTATGATAGGCATTTGTGTTTGTAATAAAAACTGTTTTTGAATTATGTTACAGAGGGGCTACAAGATGTGATCTTGTATCACCAGCCAGATGACAAGAAGAAGAACCGGGGCTTTTGTTTCCTCGAGTACGAAGATCACAAGTCTGCAGCTCAGGCGCGCCGCCGCCTAATGAGTGGAAAGGTCAAAGTTTGGGGGAACCCGGTGACAGTGGAGTGGGCTGACCCTGTTGCTGAGCCTGACCCAGAAGTCATGGCAAAAGTGAGCGGTTCACATTTAAAATCCGTTCCCAGCCTTATGTTTTCCAGGAACTTACTGTATTTACTGTAATCACAGGTGAAAGTGCTCTTTGTGAGAAAACTGGCTACATCTGTGACAGAGGAGCTTCTGGAGAAAACCTTCTCTCAGTTCGGGAAACTAGAACGAGTGAAAAAGCTGAAGGATTACGCTTTTGTCCATTTTGAAGATAGGGATGCTGCTGTAAAGGTCGGAAATTCTTTTCGTGTTTGAAGGATTTTTGTGTATTTGATTCTGTTTAAATTGGTAATTAGTTGTTAATGATGTTCAGGCTATGGAGGAAATGAATGGTAAAGAGCTTGGAGGGGAAGAAATCGAGATCGTCCTGGCGAAGCCCCCAGATAAGAAGAGAAAAGAGCGCCAAGCAGCCCGACAGACCACCAGGGGTGGCGGGTGAGTCAGTGACATGATTGATAGGGCTTCAGCTAATGATTACTTCAGTAATCAATTATTCTGATGATTAATGGAATAGAAAAACTCGCAAATTCTGCACTTATTTTACATAATACTAGAAATGCATTAAAATAAATGATTCAAGTAAAATAAACATTTTATTGCCTAAAATGCAATAGCATAGCATTGCTTCCATGTATGCTAACCATGACAAAAACTGCCACTTGAGGAGTTCTGAGTCAACCATATTTACAGACAAAGCAGTTTTTGTTGTTTTTATCTTTAATGCCCAACATAAAACTTCCTTGCATCATTTTGGCTTAATTTCTGCTCTGAGAGTATTTTTCTTGCAGCAAATGGTCTGTTTTTTTTTTTTTTTTTTTAGTCTGTATGCTCCAGTTAGCAATTAATCAATTACTGAACTAGTTGACGATTAGTTGTTTCAGCCCTAATGATCGGTCAGTTGTGTGACAGATCTAATATTTATGTCCCCCGCAGGTATGATGACTACTACTACTACCCCCCTCCTCGCATGCCACCACCGGGCCGAGGAAGGGGCCGTGGTGGCCGAGGGGGCTATGCTTATCCCCCTGATTACTATGGCTATGAGGACTACTATGACGACTATTATGGCTATGACTATCATGACTACCGTGGTGGCTATGAAGACCCTTACTACGGCTATGAAGACATGTACAGCATGAGGAGCCGTGGTACTCGCCCCACCAGGGGTGGGCCTCCACCTCCAAGAGCCCGTGGCGCTCCTCCGACACGAGGCCGGGGCGGCTTTGCCCAGAGAGGGCCACCCCTTGGTGGCCCGCGCGGCGCTCGAGGAGGACGGGGAGTCCCCTTCCAGCCTCAGAGGGGCCGTGGTCCTCGCGGTGCCAGAGGCAATCGCGGGGGCAACGTCGGCGGAAAGAGGAAGGCCGACGTATTTAACCAGCCTGACTCCAAGCGCCGTCAGACCAACAACCAACAGAACTGGGGGTCCCAGCCCATCGCCCAGCAGCCCCTGCAGCAAGGGGCCGACTATTCCGGTAACTATGGTTACAGTAATGACACCATGGAGTTTTCACAGGATTCTTATGGGCAACAGTGGAAGTAGATGCACCTAAAGGTATTTGGCAACAACAAAAAAAAAGAGGAAAACTACAAAAGAAAAAAAAAAAGGAGATTGGCCACAATTTTTTGATTGACTTTTTATTCTTCTTATTCTTCATCCCTCATGAAAAAAAAAAATCTGTATATACATATATCTCAGAAAAATGGACAGACTGCAGAATTGGCTCAAGACGATTGGCTGGAAATCCTTTTGGCTGAAGAAATGAACGTAACCGTTGTGGTCATTTCTTACTCCTGCGGTTACATTGGGACACATCTTTAAAAATAAGTACAATTTTATTGGAAATTTTTGTTCCTGTTCCTTTTAAAGCCAACAAAGAACACTGACAAAAAAGCGGACGTTCATTCTCAAAAATTTGGTTGGACATTAAATACAACACATGGCCTTGCAGGAAGTTTCTTGTCCATGCTCCCATTTCCCTTCCCCTTCTTGTACTCCTTTTAATTTGTGGTTTATTATAGTAGTTTAGGATCATGCTTGTAAATAAATGCATATGGTTAGAGCTTCGTATTCATTTCTTTTGCAGTGGTGGAGAAAAGAATCCACCAAAGGAAAAAAAGAATAAAAGTTTTGTAATGTCCAAAGTGTACGCCTAGCATTTCTAGAGATAGATAAATTGTGTTTTCTTTCTTTTTTTAAACTGATAACATAACTTCCATGTTTTCTTTCAACTTGCCCCGTAGGAATTGGTTTGGCTTACCTTAAGAGCCATAGCAGTTTGTTCTCTGATGTTATTTGTATTTATAACTTTTACGTTTGTTCCGTTTCAATAAAACCCAGATGAGCATCAGTCCATTGTCAGAACCTCAAACTCAGTGTTGTGATTTGATCTATAACTTCGATTCTTTGATTCAAAAGAAGAATTTTCCTTCCCTCCCCAAGTCAAAATTTTTTTTCCCCCTCTAGGGAGAACCGCAAATAAACTTGAATTGCAAGAGTCCAACAGAACAGGAGACCTTGTCTGGATTAAACAGGGTTTTAACTTCTATCCTTCAAATGTTTGTTCAGTAACACTGCTGCATTTCCTGCACACACCGTTTGTTGATGGTGAAATTAGCAATTCACACAAACATTCCCCAAAATTGTTCCCATTTCTCAAACTGTTCTCTTAAACCTATTGTCATCTACCTTCTCCAAATGTTTTCTTCTGCCATTCGAGACACAGGAAGAAGCAGTATTTATCCCTCTGAAGAATATGTGCTGCTTATCAGGTGTTTACATGACCTAATCACATTTTGCAGCTGCAATTCCTAACTGACTTGATGAAAAAAAAAAAAAGACTTTTCCAACAGGTTTGTATTTTCTTTAAGCTCCCTAGTTGTACACATTTGTTTCAAATATGAAGTTGGTTGCAGATGAACTCATATTTATATTACGTGCACCGTAAAATAAATGAAAAGCTGAGAACAAGTTTGAGTAATGGTGAGCACTTAAAACTCTTCAACTCAAAGTGTGACGCACACTGACTTGGAATAGATCTTCGACGTTGATTTGACTTGATCTTGTTGCTTTCAGAGAATCTATTCTCTCCTGCTTAAAGATGCCAAGGATCTGGCCATCTTGAGGTTTATCATTGTTTAAACATAATCTCGCTCACAGAATGCTCCACCCGAGAGAATGCGTTTACCACGACGAATAACAATTCTCTAGCCTTTACCTGTTGGTGTCATTGTTTTGTATTTTGTTTCATGTGTCTGTCCTCTTATTCCAACCTGCCTAGGTGGAGAAGCAAAGCGAGCGGCACCACTAGAGTGAGGAACTCACCTGAACGGTACTTGAGGGTGAGCCAGCCTTGTACAGAGTACTGCCTCCTCTCCTGTAGTTGACTATAATCACTTCAGAAGCTTGAACATAAATTTAGTTCTTTGGGTTTTTTTTTTTTTTTGTTGGTTTGTTTGTTTATATAATCAGTTATTGATATTACTGTGCAAAAAATTAAACACCAATTCATAATTTGTTCCAATGCAGCTCAGACTTTCTTGCCATCTTTTAAAAATCGTTTTGATCAACAGTACTCCTGTCCTACTGAAGGATGCCTTGGATTTGAGAATATGCTGCAGTTTTTTTTGTTTGTTTTTTTTACCCTTCATTCACTTTTAGGATCACATGAACTAGTAAAGAACAAAACGATTGTCAGGCACTCAAACAGATCGTCTGAAAGTCATTAAAAATGGGGGGTGGGATCCTGCAAACATCTGAAACCTGACAAATGCTGTGCTTGGGTTGATTACCCAAGTCAAATTTTTGTCTGTCTGAAAACCTTAAGATAAGTACAGCTAGAGATACTAAAAGGTTCTTCTAGACAGTTGCAACAGAATACATAAAGTTCCTTTTTTTAAAATGGGTTCTTTTCCAAGTTGGAGCAGGGGAAAAAACATTCATCCTTTGAGTTTGAGTTCATTGGTCATTAATCAAAAATCAGCTAATTTTCCTTTGATCATGTCTGATATCCAAAACCAGAAATGAGTTGTCAGAACACAAAGAAAACAAGATATTGGTACCTTGATAAGTGTCTGTTTTAGTCTAAATGATTGGTAGAATCAAGACTGAACATGAAAAACGAAGCGGCAAAAGCTTTATAAGACCACCAGAAAGTCTGAAGAACCATCTAAGACCAATTTAAAGGCCTACAAGAAAGTCTAGCTTCTTTGAAACAATTTTGTTTTTGAAGATTATGTACTGAAATCTTTTGCACAGTAGAGTACCTTTTTATCAAGTTTCAAAGAGGATGAGTCCAAGTTTTCTCTGTTTAGGCTATTAATAGGACATATCACCAGTATGTATTCCTTTGAATCTACTAATGTTTTCACATTAAAACAAAACAAGTTTGAGGACAATTTTAGGAATTAAATTGCCCTTGGTTCAAACTCTAATAAAAACCAACATTGCATAATGTCTTGGGTTTGGTAAACAGAATGCCACTGAAAACATGCATACATGTGCTGCATATCTTGACTCACTGCACCAAAATCACTGCAGCTGTCTGCAAAGGCATTTTGCAAGTAGGAGGAGCTGGATATTTACCCTTCTTGGCCACTAGGGGCAGCAGCTTGAATGCAACGTGACTATTTATCCCTTTCTTTGTCCGAGGCAGCTCTTTGGAGATTGAGTTAATTATCAGGTCTGTTCGAAGCAGAGAGCCTTGTCAGTTTTTTGTGGTCATCACTGGAGAAACGGATTTAAATATTTCCGAGATTGACTGATTGCAGAACAATGGCTGCACACAAAAATAGGCGTCTTTAGCTTTCACCACCACCAGATGGCAGCATGGGGGCTGCATTAATTCACTGGTAAAAGTGGGGTGAGGGATATGTGGGGAAATGCAACAAAAGAAGGCTAGTTGTTAATGCTGCGGTGTCCTTAAAGCACATTTTCATATCAGAACTGTGTGTTTATGTTGCCTCTTGTCACCAGGCAGTAAAGGAGCTGCCCACATCCATGTGAATGAGTTCACAGAATTGGAAAGAAGTGATTGGTAAGGCTTCGTTATTAACTAATTCTCAGAAAAATTAAACATGTGCCATTTAAACTGATTTTAGATGTTTGTTATAAAGGGTTTTCTTTAAACAAATGGAATCCAAAAGGGACAACTCCTCTTTCTGCACATGATCTGGTATTGATGGTCATACTGATTCATCAGCATCTTTCTGTCTGTGTGGCCATGTCTTAGTTCCAGGTCAGAGAAGCGATTTCCAGCTGGTGCAAGCCAGATCCATTGCAGGTTTTCACCCACCTCAAGATGGCTCTAACAGAGCTCCAGAGTTTTGGGTAACCAGATTTCCTTAAGGTGAGGGAGAAGGGTGAACAATCTAAAAGCGCTTATTCAGAGCAAGATTTACCTTTTTATCCATGTATACATAGAATGAAAATAAAATATAAGCTTTAGTTTTAGAGAATGAGTCATAACTTGAGTTTTCTTCTCTATATTTAAGGGAGAAAGGAGGACAAGCAGACCCCTCAACATGAAGAAATCTATGCTCCTTATCCAGCTTCAAAAATTACTATTAAAAGGAAAATCCATGCTTTTAATTGTACTGTATTTATCTAAATTGTGTATTTTTTTTACCTTTTTAACCTAGATCTTTTTTTTTTTTGAACAAAAGGGGAAATGACTCCCTTCACAATAACTATTCCCAACTTCAACCTAAATTTTAATACATGAAGACATGAAATAGTCTTAAGTAATCAGTTGCACCTTTTTTTTTTTTTTTATAAAAATTTTACATGGTGGGTCTGATAAATGTTGCCTTGTAGAGAATGAAATAAAAATGAATTGTGCATCAAATTGTAAATCCATGTTGCCTTCTGTATTACTGTGTTTCAATATTTTATGTTTATAAATTAAAAATCTTTTAAGACATGACCTGATACTGGTCTTTAGATTTCTTTTTTTGTTAGTTTTGACCAGTTGACAATATTTGTCTTTAAATTAGTGTATTTTGATGTGGATATAAATAGATAATTGGGTTGTATTGGAAATATCAAGTGTGGATGTTTTGGCTTGTATAAAGCCATTAACTGGGCCCTTTAAAAAGTTGTGAAATTCACCTTTTGTTGTGGAAACATTACAACTCTGAAGATCCTCTTCAGTCAGAGGTTACTTCCTGCAAGACTGACTGCTACAGGAGAGCCTTCCTTCCCACATCTCTGAACAAACCTTGATAACTTAAGTAACATTTAGTGTCTTTGGGTTTCATAGTTTTATTTATTTTGTTTGAGTTGGCACTATGTAAAAGTAAGCATAATGAGCATTCTCAATGAGTAGCTAAAGATTTGCAAATGTTACAGGACGTTTCAGTAAATTGGGGTAAAAAGGCTAAATAGACTGGTCGTCAGTACACACCGTGAAGTGTTATGGCAACTAAAACGTCTTATGAAACCAACTGCGACTTTTGGCGTTATAAACCTAAATATTTTTTACACCAATGGAAAACTTTGTTTTGGAGAGGGATATATTCAACAGAATCGTTTGTCAGAAGTTCAGAAAGGACCCGTATTTCGTCTTGAATCACAAGAAAAACCTGAACTACGAACTGCGCTGTCCCCGCATCATCTGACGTCATCGGACATTCGACGCCGTACTCCTGGAAGGTTTTGCGAGTCACGTGACCCAGTACGTCACATGTAAACCTGAGCGAAAATGGCGGCCGCTGGAGGAGAATCTTCCTCTCAGAGTGTGTCGGATGAATTATTTCAAAACTTTTATACCGAGGTATGAAATATTAAAAGATTTTCAACGTTTTTGTGAAGCTTGCTGCTTTATTTGATTTCTATAAAAGTCTGTGTCGATAACTCGCCTGTTCAGGTCATATTAGGCCTAGTAGGTGTGAGCATCAGCTAACGACTAATGCTAACATTTACTGATGGGTTGTTTTATCTGCAAACTACTACACATTTGTATTATTTCGTACTTGCTTATAGATACATTTATTTTATTACAGACTCAAAAGTCCAAATTACATACAAAAAGAAAACCAATACAATAAAATAACAGTAGAGCCGTCATTTAAGGTGAACATTAAGTGTTTCACTTTAGTTCTGTGTTACAAGACTTTTCTCCATAACAAACATAAACACGATCATGGTGATTTTTTTTTTTTTTTTTATAAATCATGATGGTTTGTGTTGTGGATATGTTTTTCGATAGGTGAAGCAGATTGAGAAGAGGGACTCTGTGTTAACGTCTAAGCAGCAGATTGACAGGTTGCTAAGACCTGGATCATCGTACTTCAACCTCAACCCCTTTGAGGTAACAGGTGTTTTCATGTTTTTACCGATTTTTTAAAGCATACGACTTATATTGTTTGTTTGCACAGTAAATGTGACTAGCTATTGATTTTATTTCAGGTATTGCAGATTGATCCAGAAGCAACAGACGAAGAGCTGAAGAAAAGATTTAGGGCGGTAAGAAAAGATTAGTTTTTTTATTTGTAAATTTTAAATTGTCTGAACTTGTATAGCACTTTTCCAGTCATACTGGCAACTCAAAGTACTTGACACCAGATGGATGATCAGGTACAGACTGCGGATGGATGTTTTAACCTCTATCTCCCTCTTTTTATTGCATAGTTATCCATTTTGGTCCATCCAGACAAAAATCAGGATGACCCAGAGAGAGCACAGAAAGCCTTTGAAGGTACAAATACTCTTGTCCAGATATCGCTTGTTAAAGATTGTAGCCTTATTCAGCTTTATCCTGCTGTTTGCTTTAATCGGTTTAGAGCAAACTCTGCTGTCTTATTAGCATGCGTCTGTAGTAAAAACAACAGTTTTGGTCGGTGATGCAGCTTGACCCACACAGCTTTTAACTTATTGTTTCCCAGTTGTGGACAAATCATACAAACTCTTACTGGATCCTGAACAGAAAAAGCGAGCAGTTGATGTGATCCAAGCAGGAAAAGAATATGTGGAGCATATGGTGAGTGGCATCTGTCAGCTTACCTGCAGACACATTTCAGTAGTTCCCTTTTTGCATCTGTTCTTAAGTTATTGTCTGTCATTAACAGGTAAAGCAGAAAAAGAAGCAACTAAAGAAAGATGGCAAACCGCAGGATGTGGAGGAGGACGACCCTGACATGGTAAGTCAGTCAACCTCTAAGGGGAATATTACCTGGTTGACCAATTCTAAATATAACAGAGATATTTTGTTATGCTTTTTTTGTTTGTTTCTTCCAGTTTAGACAAGCTGTGTACAAACAAACCATGAAGCTGTTTGCTGAGCTTGAAATAAAAAGGAAGGAAAGGGAAGCGAAGGAAATGCATGAAAGGTAGAGAGCTATGTAATTAGAACCTGGATGTTGTGTGTAGGACTGCATAAAGGTAAATGTTCCTCTAGTGAGTTTTTATATTCTTAATAAATCCTGTTTAACCAGGAAAAGGGCAAGAGAAGAAGAAATTGAGGCAGCGGAAAAGGCAAAGCGGGAAAGAGAATGGCAGAAGAATTTTGAGGTGAGCTTTGCTGTGTTTATCCACACTGGGAACATCGAGTTGATTTTCATATTTTCAATCATTTCATTTTTGAAATTGTGCAGGAATCACGAGACGGACGCGTGGACAGCTGGAGGACCTTCCAAACCAAAGGAAAAAGCAAAGAGAAAAAGAACAGGTCCTTCCTCAAACCCCCAAAAGTTAAGATGGAGCAGAGGGAATGATGCTGGAAAACTGTCAAAATAAAGTCATGTTCTGTGAATCCCCACCTTGTCTGCAGTCAGCACAGCTGCAATCTGATGCATCACATGACAGGCTCCTTATCCCAACAAATGTAGTTTTGTACTTCATTTTCTATTGTACATACTTGTGATTAGAGTTAGACAATGCATCTTCCATTAATGTAACTCAAACAAAAATGTCTTGTTTTTCGAACCCTAATAAAGCTCGATCTTCAGTCTACTTTACAAGGTTGGGAAACGTTTGTTTTGGTAGTGCAAAGTTTGGACATTGCATATCTGAAACGATACGGTGCAAGTGTGTCAATTAAATGTACTACTGAAAAAAACAAACAGCCTAAAGTATTTTAAAGTGCAGAGCGTAAATGTATTTGTCTAAATAAAGATGCCAAACACTCATGGTGTAGTCTTTACAGTTTATATTTAATTAGAAATACAAACATATCTGATCTGGTTCAGATTTTAAGCTACAAACCTAAAAATATTTGCTCATAAAAAAGCTACAATTACAAACTTATCGTATGATTGGCAAATGCATGAATGCAGTCCAAAGACTTTTCAAGTGTACAAACATGTCAAACGACAAGCCGTTTTCCTTCCCGCCATTACAAAACAAAATCAAGTCACTTTAAACAGATTTCTGCAGCAGGTCTCCTTGGTAAGGAATCTTCCCAGAGCTGCAGACTGTCCTTAGTTGATGCACGTCACATAACTTTGCACTGCTCTCCGCCTGCAGCGGAAGCGGAGAGTGCATGAGACCCGGCGGCGCCTCCTGTCAGCCCGTCCAGACTCAGGCCCTGGAAAGCTCCGAAGAACGAGTCGTCCTTTGTGGCTGCGGGTTTCCTGGCTGCAGGGGTGTGCTGTTGGTAGAAAACCATCACAATCAGGATTACAACCTATTAAACAAAAACAAAAAAAGAAATAAAAATGTAATTATTTACCCTCGGAAGGCAGTGGTGGCTCCTGAAGTGATTTTTCCGTACAGTTCTCTCAGCGTTCTTCTTGGCCAGCATGGCCTGCTGACGTTTCCTTTGGCAAACAGCACAGAGCCACATTAGGCGTCACATGGGCAAGCAGCTTATTCAGGTACCGTACAGCCTTATCCTCATTAAGCTCAGTCTGCCTGGCAAAGAGTCTTAGCCAGATAACAAGACAGTAACGTATGGTTGTACAAAAATAGAAGATTCTAATAATAAATATTCATAGATAAAACATTTCCCATCCTTTCAACGTAGACCAAACTTTTTGTTTTTTGCCGTACCTCTCCTTCTTCAGTTCCTCCTGGTAAACCCTGAGCCAGGAATCTGGGACCTTCTGGCTGCTGCAGGGAAGGCTTCTCCTCCGGCTGACGCTCTTCCTGCGCGTGAAGCTGAACCTGCGGACGGACTGGCTCCCCTTGCTTCTTCCTCCCTTCTTGGCGTTTTTTGTGCCGGACATGCAGCTGGTGAACTGCTTCAGCGGCGCTCCCAGCGACATGAAGGAATCCATTTCCCAGAGTCGTCGGCGTGTAGATTTAGCTTCAGACGGTCTCTGCCCGGCCTCAAAGCAAAGTCTACCTGCGGGGGGAGATGGAAATGTTCAGTAATGAATCGATAAAACACACCCTGACGTTCTAGCTTAACTGTTTTTATTTAAATATAATTTACATCAGATTACTTGAATAAAACTCAAATCTCCAGACCTGTGATGTATCCTGAACCGTTCAGTTCAGCTCTGTGTTAAATCTGTAAAAGCAGCATGTCCAGTTGATGAGCCGTTCCCCGTTGTTCTGCTCGTTCCTCCTCTCTGTCTGGACTTAGTGACGGTTCATCTGATGACTCTGCTGGTCTTGAAGGATTGACAGGATTATCTGAAGATGCATAAGACGTTCATCTCATTAACAGGAGTCACAAACAAATCTGCGCCGGAAAAAGACCTGTGTGTTTACAGCTGCCAAGTTAAAAAAAAAAAAAAACACTAACCTGTAAATCAATTTTGTATCTAAGTGCTATTTTAAAACATTACTTCAGGAACTGTAATTTATTTAATTAATTTAGTTGAGCAATTTTAAAATATATATGTATATATAAAAAAAAAACAACAAAAAAAAACTGGCAAAACTGTGTCACTACAAGCCAGACAGATAAAACTTTAAGACACTCAAGGACAGAAGGTGACGCTTTGATGACGCAGGAGGGATTGTCTTTTTACTCCAAAGACGTGCGTTTTCATTGACTCGAGGCATTAAGCGCCCACATCGTTACGCTGAGTGACTCATTTCATTCACAGGTTCATTGACTGAAGGAAATCTGTTGAACTCAAGTCTGGAAAGAAATGACGTCCTCACCTCCACAAATCCTCGGCAAAAGCCGTACAGTTCTGCTGGAGAGACAAGTCTGGCGTTATTAAAGCTTCAAAAACTCGAGCTGCAAAAGTGAAGTGAAAAGTGGAACCTGCTCACATTTCGTCGCGCTATAAGTTTCCTGGGGTTTTACGGGACACAAACACAAAGGAGAGCAAAAATTGCGAGATTTCTTAGCAATAAAAACCTGAAAGGTCTGGCGTGTGTTTTTATTCAGACCCTCAAACAAAACAGTTTGCGCAAGTGGAAGAAGCTGCTCCGGTATAATTTTTTTTTTTTTTTCACCTATATACAACCAACCTAAATGCCCAATACTGTGGCAGAAAAAGCTAAAAGTGAAACATGGTAGTGGCAGTGTCAGGCTGTGGGGATACATCTTGGAGGATGGATGGAGCAAAATAAACAGAAAGACGAGGAAAACAAAACGATGACACTAAATTATGTTGTGAAATGATTTTGATCAAAAGATATACATCTGTTAGAATAAAATCCAGGAATAATGGGCAGACTACCAAAGTTGGTAGAGATGTAATCCTAAAGACTGCATCTACAAATTATTGACTCCTGGGGAACTGTATAAAAAGGCATGCCACAAGTTTCAGTTTTATTTGTAAATTAAAACCATGGATCATTTTCCTTCTACTTCACAACAATGCTCTAGTTCATTTTGGTGTCTTGCATACATTAAACTTTACGTAAAGAGGCTCCAAAAGCTGTGAATACAATGTGCTTCTAATGCAAAGCTAAGCTTAAAGTAAACCAAAAAAAGCCCAATGTAAACAAAAGCCGGAAGCCGCCATCTTTAAATATTAAGCGAGTTATAAATAAAGAGAATGTGAGAGGCTAGTAGAGCAACAGGAAGATTACCAACAGATGGACCAGGTGCGCCGCCTCCTCGACTTCTGCTGCAGATCATCCACATTTCTTAATCCCTGGCTCATGACACGGCTGCTGAGTTTATTTTAGGAGAGGAATAAAACACAAGTTATTTCCAGAAGGACTCAGCAAGACAACACTGAAATAAGATTGTAATAATTACCAAAATATCTACAGGTTCAGACTTTAAAAAAAAAAAAAAAAAATCCTTAATATGAGCTTTGGATCAATTTTGAATTTGAAATGACTAATTACTTGCACCGTTTCGTGATTACGGATTATTGACTTCTTTTTTCCTTTACGTTTAAAAAGTCGTCAATAAGCAGATGGACTCTGACACAGCATTTAAAGACTGAACATTCAAACCGCCAGAGGCTCAAACTGCTCAGAGCATTGGTAACCTTTGGCAAAGAAGACTTTAATTCTACACAATAATACATATATACAGCATTATACGCTTTCATTTCATACAAAAAAACCCCCAAAAAAACAAGTCACATTCAGGAGGATAATGTGGACTACGACCTATATTAGGAACTGCAAAATAAATACCACCGATCGGAGCTGTGTGCTTAACCCTAATGTAGAGACTTCTCACATGAACTGTGGAAAAGGCAGTTTTGTTTTATATGAGAACGACCCCCATGAAGAACGCTCAACTTAACTGTGGAGCTGAACATGAACGCATCACCCATTCCCATTCACATCAGTATGCTCACACACATACACACACACACACACGCATACACACACAAAAGTAAGCACTCACACTTAGAAAAACAGTGCATAACAAAACAAACGGGTAAATAAGTCAGGCTACAGAGAGGCCGATGTGAGGAGTGTCCAACGACCCACCAACTGGGTCAGCTTTCCTAGAGGGGTTAATCTCATTTTTTCTTTTTGTTTTTTTTAGACATGAAATATTAAAAGAATGCAAAGCAATGGCTCATCGACAATGTTAACAAAAACATGGGACGCATGTTTATGCTCCAGATTCCAAAGAAAGCGAATATTCTGTGTATAATATTTGCTCTTTTTAGAGAATTAGAAAGTTTGTGGCTGAGATACTGATTATACAGCTATCTATCTATCCATCTATCTCCTTTTTACCCTTTTCCCGGACTTCGGCACAGGGAGAGATTTCTGCTTCCGAACTGATTCGTGTTTTAGAGACGGAGAGTGTCGATGGTGTCATTTTCTTCGGACGGCGGGAAGAGAGGTGTTCCCCAGTCGACAGGAAGACAGAAGCTGCATAGAGGGCTGTTTGGGTACACATCTTTCACCTTCAATTTTATTCAGCCTTGTTTCTTGGGCTGCCGATCACTAGAAAAGATTCAACTCTTCTCCAGCCTTGTTCTGCTTATTTTGGTCTCTCTGCTGCAAAAAAAATAAAAAATAAAACATGCCACTTGTGCCGACGGGAAAGAACAGGGGAAGGTCGTGCTGGAGGAGCAGGAAGTCAAGGTGTCCATGCTGTTATCTCCCGTCCCAGAACCTCCAGTCCAAGGTTAACTGAACAGTTCAGCTGCTGATCTCCCCTGTCAGTCAGTCCGTGAAGAGCAAAGGTCACCGGCTGATGTCACGGTTGCCCTCCCAGTTCTTGCTGCCGGCCGCCTCGCCGGTGCCACTGTTCTCGAAGAAAGGGTGCTTGAGGGAGTCCGACAGCGTCAGCCTCTTGGACGGCTCGTACTCCAGCATGCTTTCAATCAGGTCAAACAACTGGTGGTGCTCCTCCGCTTCGGACAGCAGGTACCGCTGATGAGGAAGCAGAGAAACAGACGGGGGAGCAATGAAAGTGGGCAGACACGACGCCAAACGTCCCCGTTACTTCGACGCTGCGCACCGGGTTTTTTTTTTTGTTTTTTTTTTTGCAAATGCTCCCACCTACCCGCAACGGCTTGCAGTTTTCTCTGACATATTTTCCCGCCGACGAGCTCTCGTCCCAATCTAGTCGTCCACGATAGAAATACTTCTGCTTCCTGAGGGATGAATGTGTGCGGGCAGCTT